ACCACTCATCATACACCACTCATCATACACCACTCATCATACACCACCCATCAAACACCACTCATCATACACCACTCATCATACACCACTCATCATACACCACTGATCATACACCACTCATCATACACCGCTCATCACACACCACTCATCATACACCACTCATCATACACCACTGGTGAGATGACTCAGATTTCGTGGCAGGCGCAGCACTTTGTGAACCTCCATGTGCAGATTTCGTGGCAGGCGCAGCACATTGTGAACCTCCAGGTGCAGATTTCGTGGGGCGCAGCACTTTGTGAACCTCCATGTGCAGATTTCGTGGCAGGCACAGCACTTTGTGAACCTCCAGGTGCAGATTTCGTGGCAGGCGCAATACAAAATGCGTTTTGGAGAGATAGCGGACGCACGAAATGCTGTATTTTTCAATAGAACCGGTGGCTTCAAACCTGGCAAGTCTAGCTCTGCGGAACGATGGGTCTCGGGTCATTCTCGGATCATGTTTGGGCATGGTCGGAATCGTCCCTCCTTTGGGATTAGAGTTTTCACTTGTTTCTTGAAGTGCAGATTTCGTGGCAGGCACAGCGCTTTGTGAACCTCCATGTCCAGATTTCGTGGCAGGCGCAGCACTTTGTGAACGTCCATGTGCAGATTTCGTGGCAGGTGCAGCACTTGTGAACCTCCATGTGGGCAGATTTCGTAGCAGGCACAGCACTTTGTGAAGATTAGAGTTTTCACTTGTTTCTTGAAGTGCAGATTTCGTGGCTGGCACAGCACTTTGTGAACCTCCACGTCCAGATTTCGTGGCAGGTGCAGCACTTTGTGAACGTCCATGTGCAGATTTCGTGGCAGGCGCAGCACTTTGTGAACCTCGAGGTGCAGATGTCCTGGCGCACGCAGCACTTTGTGAACGTCCACGCGCAGATTTCGTGGCAGGCACAGCGCATTGTGAACCTCCAGGTGCAGATTTCGTGGCAGGCGCAGCACTTTGTGGAGCTCCATGTGCAGATTTCGTGGCAGGTGCAGCACTTTGCGAACCTCCAGGTGCAGATTTCGTGGCAGGCGCAGCGCTTTGTGAACCTCCATGTGGAGGTTTCGTGGCAGGCACTGCTGAGAACTGGCGAAGATGTACAACTTTAGTACGCGGAGCAATCTGTAGAGCTGGAAGCTGAGAA